TTTTGTGGAAAAGAAATTAATACAGATTCCAGCTTCTGGCACTTAGGGCATTTTCAGTAAATGGTTTTGTTTTTTTTCCTCCACTTAGCATCATGACTTATATATGTCAAATGCTTATTATAATTAATAGATATATAACAAATTTTAATCCTTGGGATTGAAATGGTGGTGAGATTTTGTTCTTGATAGGCAGACATTTTAACCTTGTTCGTTTCTGGTATTTTGTACTTTCCAGTCTTGGTGTGGAGCTGTTGGATAAGCACTGGACTGCAGGTCGGTTTGGGCCGCAAGGTCAGCAGTTCAAACTCACAAGCAGCATCTTGGGAACCCTATCCAAGGTTGCTATGAGTCGACTCAACAGCATATAACAATACGAACTTACATTGGCTGTGAATTCTATCCTGCTCCTAGACCATATGAACCTTGAACACTGAGTTGACTTTCAGTCCTGGGGAGGAGTAAAATCTCGGGGAAAGCGATAGGACACAGAAAGAGAAGGCAGCAAACAGACAACATCCTCACGGAAGCAAAGAGAGATCAAAACTCCTACCTAGGCGTAGCTAACATAGAGCACAAAAAGCATCAACCTTGGCCCTGCTTCAATCGGTCATAATGCCCCAGACATGCTCACAGTTACAGTTTCTCCTCTTCTCAGCACATCAATCCCATATGTGTAATCAGACACATGGAGAGAAAGTCAAAGAGACCTCCCGCATGGAAGCAACAGAGTTAACTTTAAAATCTGTCCAGATGTTTAGTTCCTCCCTGCTTCTCATTCCCTGATGGAAGGTCACCACCAGCAGACTAAGCTAACATTGATTTTCTCTTTAAAGTTACTTGACTGTAAGGTGCAGGAGAGGCAAACTCTTTTACTTGAGGCTATATATGGAATAGAGGTTAGGTTGGTGATGTCACAAAAGAGGTTTTCAATTGGGTCAGCAGAGATTGCAATGGTGACTAAGGAAGTTGATAATAGCACCATTTTAAATGGCTACGCATACTGAATGAGCAGGTGAGAATATTAATTACTGGTAGGACTACTCCCATTATGGGAAATATCATCACAATGAAAATATTTCCTTCTAGATTCCAGAATCCCAGGTCTTAACACACTTAGCTCAAGAAAAATTAAAACAAGTCCATGAAAGTCAAAATAGTTGAACCTTGAGTATATCCCATATAGAGACCATCTCAAGAATAGATTTGACTCACTGAACACTAATAAACAAAGAACAACTAATAATAAGTTGTGGGATGACATCAAGGACAACATATATGAAGAAAGCAAAAGGTCATTTAAAAGACAGGAAAGGAAGAAGAGCAAAATGAATGTCAGAAGAGACTGAAACTTGTTCTTAAATGTAGTGTAGCTAAAGTGAATGGAATAAAAAAGCTGAACAGATTTTAAAGGCAGGCTCAGGACAAAGTAAAGTGTTATAATTAAATATGCAAAGACCTGTTATTAGAAAGCCAAAAGAGAAGAATACATTAAACATTTCTCAAGTTAAAAGAACTAAAGGGAAAAAATTCAAGCCTGGAGTTACAATATTGAAGGATTCTATGGGCAAAATCTTGAATAATGAAGTATGCATGAAAATAAGACGTAAGTAATAAATAGAATTCTATGTTCAACCATTATAGGATGTAGCATATGATTGTTGTTGTTAAGTGCCATTGAGTAGGTTCTGACTCATAGCAACCCTGTATAGGGTTTCCAAGGAGTAGGGACTGCCACCCTTGGTGGGTTTGAACTGCCAGCCTTGTGTTTCACAGGCCAGTGCTTATCCTACAGCGCCACATCGGTATAGGTTTGTTGTTGTTAAGTGCCAGCAAGTCAGTTCCAACTCATAGCAACCTATATACGGTTTCCGAGGAGCAGGTGGTGAGTCAGAACTGTCGACCTTGCAGTTCAAACTGACCCGATAATATTAAAGGAAGAAGTAGCTACACTGAAGGCATTAGCAAAAACAAGACTCCAGAAATTGACAGAATATCAATTGAGATGTTTCAACAAATGGATATAACACTGAAAGCATTCACCTATCTGTGCCAAGAAATTTGGAAGACAACAAACTGGACAAATAACTGAAAGAGATTCATACCATTGCCCATTCCAAAGAAAGATGATGCAACAGAATGAGGACATTATTAAATAATATAATTAATATCACACAGAAGTAAAATTTTGCTAAAGATAATTTTAAAAGGATTGCAGCAGTACAGCCAGAAATTCAAGCCAAATTCAGAAGAGGACTTGGCATGAGGATAACTGCTGATGGCAGATGGAGCTTGACTGGAAACACAGAATACCAGAAAGATGTTTACTTGTGTGGAAAACTAGAGGCATTCATCTGTGTGGATCATAACAAACAATGAATAACAGTATGAAGAATGTGAATTCTAGAAAACGTAATTGTGTTCATGCAGAACCTTTATCTAGACCAAAAGACAGCCATGTCATTAGAACAAGGGGATACTGAATGGTTTAAAACCAGGCAAGGTGTGTGTTAGGGTTGTAACATTTAATCATACTTACTCAATCTGTATGCTGAGCAAATAATCCAAGAAGCTGGGTTATCTGAAGAAGAATACAGCATCAGGATTGGAGGAAGACACATTAGCAATGTATACTGAAGACACAACCATGCTTGCTGAAAGTCAAGAAGACAGGAAACATTTACTGATGAGAATCAAAGACTATAACCTACAGTGACGATTATATCTCAACATAAAGAAAACAAAAATCCTTACAACTGACCCACTAAGCAACATCATGAAAAATGGAGAAAAGACTGAACTTGTCAAAGACTTCATTTTGCTTAGATCCACCAGCAACACTCATGGAAGCAGCAGTCAAGAAACCAAATGACATATTAAGTTGGACAAATCTGGGGCAAAAGATCCTTTCAATTGTTAAAAAGCAAAGATGTCACTTTGAGGACCAAGGTGCACATAATATGGTATTTTCCATTGTCTTTAATGTATGTGAAAACTGGACAGTGAATAAGACCAGAGGAGAATTGATGCCTTTGAGTTATGGTGTTGGTGGGCAAACTGAATATACGATGGACTGCCCAAAGAACAAACACATCTGTATTGAAAGATGTACAGCCAGAACACTCCTTAGGCGTGAACTTTAGACATATTATGTGGGGGAAAACATCATGCATGGGAAAGTAGAGGGTCAGCACAAAAAGAGGAAGACCCTCAATGAGATGGATGGACACTGGCTGAAACAAGGGGCTCAAACACAGCAATAGTTGTGAGGATGTTGCAGGAATAGGCGTTGTTTCATTCTGTGGTACTCAGGCTCACTCTGAGTCAGAATCAACTCAAAGACACCTAACAACAGGTCAAGAAAAGTAGAAATAGATTTCTAGAAAGAAAAAAAAAAAAGTAGTTAGGAGGAAGGAAGCTAATTTCTTGGTTGGGGCATATCAAAAGGAGGTCTGCCCTTCATAATTAAATAAGACCAAGAACATCGGTCACAGAGTTGTTAAGTGCCTTCGAGTTGGTTTTGACTCATGGCCACCAGTCCAGTGCTTATTCTACAGCGCTACATCAGTCACAATGGTTGTTACATGTCGTGGAACCGATTCCCACCCATAGGGACCCTGTAGAGGGTTTCCAAGGAGCAGCTGGTGAGTTTGAACCACTGACCTTGCAGTTCAAACTGACTTTGTAGTCTGATGCAGTAGCCCACAGCGCCGCACCAGGACTCCTCAGTCACAATGTTGTTGTTGTTAAGTGCCGTCGAGTCCATTCCGACCCATAGCGACCCTATGTAGGGTTTCCAAGGAGCAGCTGGTGAGCTTGAACCACTGACCTTGCAGTTCAAACGACTTTGTAGTCTTGGGCATTAGCCCACAGCGCCACACCAGGACTCCATAGATTCCCCCATAATCTCCTTCACCACCAATTCTTGGGCCAAAAACTGAATTTGTGGGACTGGCACTGAGATGAATGCAGGAAGCAAAATCTGAGGGAACACGTGAGCTAACTGGGCACCTGGAGACACCCACACTCTAGCAGGCTGAGGCCTCCCTGGGACCTCTAATCTGATGTTAATTGGGTGCCAAGTAATAGGAACTAAAATCTGGTTCCATAAAGGTAAACTGAAAAGGGTTTGTCCTCCTGAAGTAGGAATTACATTTCAAAGCAGTTCGAAGGTCAAACACATGCCTTTTTTGAGCGAAAGAAAACCCCTCTCCCCTTCTCATAATCTGACTGGAAACCACAGCTCCCCGGAGGTACTGTTAGAAACCAAGAGTGTGCTTGGTGGTGACCTGTGCTCCCAGGAGAAAAAGGGAGAAAAACAAAGGGCCGCAACACCTGGGCTGCACCCGCAGCCTAATGCTTCCTTATCCAGGCACTTCAGTCCCTTCGGTTTTAAAAGGCCGAAACAGGGAACACACCTCCTCTCCCGGATCTCTGGGGCTGAGGGGTAAATATTCCCAGTTATTCCATGCACTCGGTGATCAAATATTATTTGGTGGGTGCCAGGCACTGACCTAAGTGGTTTACAACCTTCCCTTAATTCTCATAATATTCCTGAGATTTGTGCCACTAACCCTGCACTCCCTTCGGTACAAAGGGCGGCAAAAGAGGCGCAGAGAGAAACAGCAATTACCCTGGAAGCAGCAGGGTCACAGCCCGGGTCGCTATTTCTCCAGCCGTGGCTCTGCAGTCTGGAGGCGACACCACGCCGCTCCTGCAGGCGACGCTCGGGACCGCTGACCGCCAGGTCCCACCCGAGCCCCGCCTTCCTCGAGTCCCATCGGCCGCACGGCAGGTGCGCTGGGAGCTCCGCAGGCCCCGCCCCCGGTCCCCGCCCGCCTGCCCGTGCCTGCGCCCCGCAGCGGCTGGCTGCGCCGCTCGGCCTCCGCCTGAGCCCCGGGAGCTTTCGGGCGAAGAGGAGGAGCCAGGGGTATCGAGCGGGTGGAGTCGGGAGCGGCCGAGGCGAGGAGGCGGATTTCCTGGGTTCGGCTCTCTGGGACGATCATGTCGTTTGGGAAGAGTCACCGGGATCCCTACGGGACCTCCGTGGGCCACCTCATAGGTAAGGTGGCGTGGACCGAGACGCACGGGCACCCTTCCCCATTCCTCCATTCTCAACTTGCGAAGGACCGAGGGAGAGCAAGTTTGAGGGAATTCGCCCGTGCCCCGCCCCCGCAACTTTCCCAGGGCGCCCACGTTCCAGCTGGCGCCGTCCTAGACATTTCTATCTTAAGGAGCCTTCCCAGAACCTGCTCCTCATATGTGCTTCTTGGGGCAGAAACTGGGCAGGTGAACTGCGGGGTCCAGGAGTGGAGTTTGGGCCTCTCCCAGGAGAGACCAGAAACTTCTCTGCCTGGGAAAGCTTTTTCATTACAGATGTGGGAAAGGGAGGCTCTGGGAGTTTGGGGGATGTCACCTCTTTGTGAAGCCAGGTCAAGCCAAGCCTGGTGTCTGGCACTGAGCCCGTACAACCTTTGTTACCTTTCTGGGAAAACGAAGAGCATAAAGAACGTTCCACTGTGGAGTCAGGGTGCCGGGGCCACTGGGGACCAGCAGTTACCTACCTGTGGCTGCCCTTGGCATAAATTGGGCAAAAGCAGGAGCCTGTGACTATACAGTTTGCCTGCACCAGCTGGGCTCTGTCACTTCTCCCTGATTCCTCCCTTGGGAAGTGGGTGTGGTACCGTGCATTTAGTGGGGTGATGAAATCCGGAGAACTTGATAGTGACAGCAAGGAAGCACAGGTTTGAAGAGTTTGGGGCCTAGTTCAGTTAATTGAGTGCCGCACTGAACAGGCCACCTAACCTGAATCTTAGTTGCCACATCTTAGTAAGATGGCAAGAGTAACTTACATACAGGATTTTTTAAAGAAGAAACACATTTTGAACTATCGATGGCTAATCCATATTGCACTGCCACCGCCACTGTTGTGTACCATCCAGTTGGTTTCTGCTCACAGCCCCCCTGTGTAGTGTTTCCTAGGCTGTAAGTATTTACCCAAGCCAATAACCTCATATGCATCTGAAAGTTGGACAGTGAATATGGAAAACCAGAGAAGAATTGATGCATTTGAGAATGCGGTGTTGGAGGAGAATATTGAAAGTACCATGGGCTGCCAAATGAACCAACAGATGTGTGTTGGAAGAAGTACAGTCAGATTGCTCCCTGGAAGCCAGGATGGCTAGATTTTGTCTTTCATACTTCGGACATGTTGTCAGGAGGGACTAGTCACTGGAGAAGGCTATCATGTTGGGTAAAGCGGAGGGTCAGAGAGAAAGAGGAAGACCCCTAACAAGATGGATTGACACAGTGGCGGAAGCGATGGACTCAGGTATGGCAACGATTGCAAGGTTGGCCCAGGACCAGGCAGTGTTTTGTTCTGTTGTACGTAGGGTCACTGAGTCAGTACCAACTCAATGGTACCTAACAATAACAGCAAGTATTTATGGGAGCGGAAAACCTCATCTTTCTTCCCTAGAGCAACTAATAGATTTGAACTACTAACCTGTGGTTAGTAACCCTATGTGTAATCCACTGTACTACCCGGGTTCTTTTCCATATTGGACATTGGATATATTAAAAAGAGCCATGAGTAGGAGTATTCAAACTGCATCTTCGTAGGCAAAAGTGACTTCAGCCATAAAACAAACAACCCAGTTACCTCTGTTCACTTCTAACTCAGCGTGACTCCATGTGTTCAGAGTAGAACTGTATTCCATAACCTTTTTCCTTTCTTCAGAGGTTATTGTGGGCTCAAGTCTTACATGGAAGACTTACACACTTAATCATTTGTGCCATCCCCAAGACTCAAACTTCAGCAATCTTTCTGATTATTTAATGTTTTAATCATTTATGGACTCCCAACTTTGTGCTGGACCTGTACTAGGCAGTATGGTCTCAAACCTCATGGTTTAAGTCACAGACTTATAGGGAAGATGGACATAATGTTGTAGTAACTACAATACAGTACCTTTGCAGCCAGAAAAATATAAAATACAGGTATGGCAACGATTGCAAGGTTGGCCCAGGACCAGGCAGTGTTTTGTTCTGTTGTACGTAGGGTCTGTCCTCTGTGCTCTGTCCTTTGCCCAGGCTTTTATAGAGTGAATAGGAGTGTTCTAGGAAGGTAAGGGGAAGAACAAAGAATGGAGAGGGAACATCTAACAGAAGAAACAATACTTGTACTTAACAACTTGAAGTTGGTCAGCTTTGTCTTGTTGTTATGTGCCATGGAGTCGATTCCGACTCATAGTGACCCTGTACAGGGTTTCCTGAGACTGTAAATCTTTACGGGAGCAGAAAGCCTCATCTTTCTCCCGCAGAACAGCTGGTAGTTTCGAACTGCTGACCTTGTGGTTCGCAGGCCAATTCGTAACCACTACGCTACCAGAGCTCCTTTCAGCTTTGTCTATCCAGTGCTAAATTCATCTCTTTTTTCCTAGAGAGGAAGCAAGCTACGCTTTGGGATTCCCCTAACCAACCAAGCACTTACTCTTTCTTCCCCTTCATTATCCTTTTTTTAATTATTTTCTCTCCTTGACTTCTGTCCATCACCACCCCTCTACCCCAGTCCTGTGATTTCTTGAGGAGTCTCTTCTCTTGTAGGGAAGATGTTAAACTGGTTCACACTGAGTCTTCAATGACCCTTCCCAGAGAACCTTTTATTCTTAAAGGAGCCAATTCTTTAATGATGAGATTAAGTACAGGACAGCTTTCGTTAGTACAGTGCAGGGAAGGATCTTGCACCACTGCAAAAGGATACAGGCAAATTCAGTTCTGATATTTCTCTCATTCTCTCCCCTCCCACCTCTTCCCCAGAATAAATGAATTTTTAAAAAAAAGAAAGAAAGAAAAAAAGCACTGGGATTAAACAGATGTAAATTTGACTCCTTGGTCTACCTTTTACTAGCTGTATGACTGACTTTGTATTGTGTAATTTTCTTAACTTCCCTGAACTGTTTCATTACCTCTAACAGTGGGTTAAATGAGATTGCGTAATGAGATAAAATACTTAGCATCATGCTGTTTACTTTGTAGGCAGGTGATCCATAAGCCATCGTTTCTTTCCTTGAAAGAATTTGCCAATGGAGATACACAGCCAGCCTGCCCTGGAGCTGTGGCCTTTGCTGGGCCCACAGTCTCTACCAATAGGTCACTCATTACTATTGCAACAGCAGCACTCTGGTTGGTGCCTGAATTTACTGGGAATTGTTCACAGGAAAAACTATCAGTGTGCCTTCTGTTACTGTAAACTGAAGGGCTCTTGCTCATTAGCCCCATGTGGATTATTTCAGGAAGACCAGGCATTGTTTCTTTAGTTGTAGTCTCAACATAATGACTTTCTCTGCAGAAAAGGCTACATTTGCTGGAGTTCAGACTGAAGACTGGGGCCAGTTCTTGCACATTTGTGACATAATCAACACCACCCAGGACGGGTGAGTACACTGTGTTGTTTGTACGCTTGCCTCCGATAAGCAGCTTCAGAACCACAGTGCAGTTGTCTCTTGGAATCTCTTTGATTTTCTTGTTGAGTGTTTTCATCATCCCCTAGGGCAGTGTGGATTACCCAATAAACAAGGTAAGCACAGGCATACCTGTGCTTACTAATCTGTAGTGAACAATTTTACATTCTCTCACCACATCAAAGATTCTGCTTTGAGACAGCTGGCATCTGTCTCAAAAGGTATATATACTTTTTTATTGCTTTAGGAATTCCTTTGGCCCCGTTTGCAAATACTTTATGTTAATGTAACTGAAAAAAATGTTATCAAGACACCAGTTGACTTTCTGGTGGTGCTCTGTCTTTGGGCAGCCCTCGTGGTTTACCCAGAGATAATGGAGCAGTTTTGTTTTCCTTTCTCTGTCACAGGATAAATTTTATTTTCCTTAGAATACTAGCTTCCCAGTGGTCATGCTACACTCTTAAACAATGGGCTGTTTCTCTTTATACTTTTTTTTTTAACTTAAGAGAATAGAGATTATGATTTTTTTTTTTTTTAAAGCCTAGAAGTTTGAATTTACTTTTGAATTACAGGTATTATCAGGGATACAGAAACCCTACTGGCACAGTGATTAAGTGCTCAGCTGATAACTAGCAGGTCAGCGGTTAGAACCCACTAACCAGTCTGTGGGGGAAAGATGGGGCAGCCTACTTCTGTAAAGATTGCTGTTGCTGTTAAAATGCCGTTGAGTGGGTTCTATAGATCGCAGCCTTGGAAACCCTGTGGGTCAGTTCTGTTCTGTCCTACCGCATTGCCTTCAATCAGGATCAACTTGATGGTAATAGGTTTTGGCATAAGGGCTACATAAAATGCTGTTATTTTTTCTGTGCCTATTCAAGTGATACCTGATAGCAGAAGAGTCTCACTTATGTTGCTGAAGAAAATGTTTCACTTAATTGCTAATCATCTATCAGTGAGAAGTGTTAATGGTTGTTCCTTTTTAGCATTTATCACGTTTTTCCTATAACCATGTGTATCATATTTTATTTTTCTGTCAATCATTTCCTCATTAATAATACCAATTTCTTCATTGATAATACAAACAAAAAGGCAATCAACCTTGTAATGATAAATTTTTTTGCTTTGTAACATCAAATTGTAGCATCAGAAGTTGAACTAGTTATAATTCCTCCTCTGTCCCTGATCTATATAGGTCGGAAATACTAATAGTATAAATTAAAATGAAATAACTTCATTGTTTTAGGAATTGCATTCCCTGTAAACTGTTTCTGTGTGTTAATACAGAAAAAGGAGTATGACACATTTCACTTTAGTGCTTTCTAGGTAACTGTGTACGCTTTCGTGTAATTCTTGTATATGATTCTCACAATACGACAGGTGGTATTATTTGCCTATATCCATGAGAAAGCTTAGACACATGAAGTTAAGCAGTCTTCCCAGGGTCATACAGCAGAACCAAGACTAGAACTTTGGTTTCCTTACCCATTCCTTTTTTTCAACAATGTGTATTGTTTTTCAGAGACTGCTTGTTTTCAGCAAATGCCTAAACTGGTGGTTTCACTGTATTTGTTGCTATAGGCCAAAAGATGCAGTAAAAGCTTTGAAGAAAAGGATTTCCAAAAACTACAATCATAAAGAAATCCAACTTACTTTGTCAGTAAGTACTTTAATGTCATAAGTAAAACATTAGGAATTCCCAAGCTATACTTTTATTTTTAGTGTTGGGCATAAAAGAAAAAAAAAAAAAAAGAATTTTCTGAGATAATTTAGTAAAAATTATGACAGTCATATTCAGTGTAAGTTAAAACTGTTCGTGTATTGGATATTGCAGAGCAGAGAGAGTTTAGTTGAGGATAGTAACATTTAATTTAATTTCTTAGGAAGAGAGTTTTCCAGGAAAATTAATTTTTTTTTTCCCAGGAACTAGTGGTTAAAAACTTGTAGTGAGCCCATCAAGAAGTTTGTGTGTGTTCACTGCGAATTGAAGATGAGAGCACTGAAGACTTGAAAAATGCTTCCCCATTAGCTTTCTACCTTATTTGAAAACCTTTGTGGAATCCTGACATACTGCCAGCTCATTAAATTCAACCAAGTTTCGTTGCCTAGTATACTTTGGAGAAAATGTTCTTTGTTGATTTAAGCAATTCTTCTTGGTGTCCTATTTTCTGATTTGGGTGTGGAGGGTTATTTGATGTGTTTCTTTCCATTCCCTGTACCTCCATCCTTGGCCATATGACCCCTTCAGTCACTTGGGTGAGTTGCCCTTTTTACTGTGGTATGTTTTGTTTGCGAGACCTGCCTGCTGTGTGGCTTTCTAATTTCTACTGCACGGCTGTGACTGATTACTTTACTAATCAGCCAGTGTCACACTGCTCTTTAGAGCTTTGGGAGTGTTTATCAAAAGACTGCTATTTGGGGCAGATGTGCAAATGGCTTCCATTTTCTAGTTTCATGTGGAAAAAAATTTATCACATCTTGCATACTTGAAGAGTAGTAACTAGAGGAATGAGATGGAATGACTTGAACAATCTTAATGACCCCATGACTGAGGAAACTCTTAAAGTTGGGGTTTGAATATAGGTCTAGAGGTATTTCTCTCCTTCACCTATTTTTGATCTCCTCCTGTCCTTTACTTATAGTTGCTACCTCAGGAAGGTCATCAAATGGAAGAAATTATGGGGGGAGGAATAAGGTAGAAATACAAGAAGACTGGGCTAATGACAGAAATAAACCTCTGACTGATACTATCAAATTTCTTACCTGCTTGCCATTTCACAGAGTAAAACACTGAGACTAAGAGAGGTTAAGTGACTTTTTTTTTAATAAATGTTTTATTGTGAATTATGTGATAGTTTACATGGGAGAACATTAGTTTTACATGCATCCTATCATATATCGTTACATTGCCATGATTACAATCCCCTCTATGCATCTTCCAACAAGCAAAGGATACACCCTGCAAGCCTGCACCTCGGTCATCAGCACACAGCCCCTCTCCCTCCCTGGGGCTAGAGTACATAGCCGCTCCATCTCTCCATGTCATTGTCTCTGCCTCCATCTCTGGCGACACTGTTTCTCTGGGGAGGGTCCCGCATTCCACTCTTCTCCTTTGATGGTTCCAGGGATCTCAGCTCCTGGACTGCAAAGTCAACCACTCCCTTCCTTTTGCTACCAAAGCATCTACCTTTACATTTCCAAGCCTCACAGTCAGTCCTGATAGCAATTATTAACTATTGTACCACATGAGTGCTATCCCCATCTCCTTTCATCAGTCCTGCCCAGACAGATTGGATGCTATTCAAGCCCTCGGAATCTAGGCTCCCTCTTGAAAGCATGTAAACCAGTCACTTCTTGCCTTTGTAGCCCCCCCACCCCATTTGAGGTAGCCAGTGTCCAAGTTTCCCGTCCCTGTCTGCCTTGTGTACCGAATGGGTGGGAATGATCCTCGCTGTAAAGATTTGCTCCCTCTTTTGAGCTATTTTGAGCTACTGCATCCATAGCTATAGGTCAGGTTCGTCAAATTGCATCAGATTGCTCTTTTTTTCTTCTTTCTTCTAGTTGAGCTCTTATCCTCCAGCCATCTGCAAGTGTGGGTGGGTGTTCTTGTGCATATCCCCTTGCTTCTTATCAGCTGGACGCTTCATTCTCCACTTTAGTCCTCTGTGGCTGTGTCACTGACTCTGGGCCCAGGAATCCCCAGGTCTTGCTATACTGCTGACCAACCAGCTCTCCACCCATGTTCACAGGAGTCTTAAGGAATGTGGTAGGACTTAGCTCTCAACTTCATTGCTGTTTTTCCCTTACTTCCCCTTATCAGTGACCAATGTGGTCACCAGTCAGACTGCATGTCTGCTCCTGTATTCCCATTGAGTCTCAGTCTTGGAAGGGGGTTTGCCCTGAGGGGACCCAACCACTTGTCTTGATGTCTCCTGGGCGAGCAACTTGCTTGTCCTTGTAGTAGTCAGTCAGACTGCCATTATTGTTTTATATTTTTCCTGTCAGTCTTTTTTTCAAGAAGTATCTTCTGTTCTTCTAGCTGTTTGAAGCTGGTCTGCTTGTCTTTTCAAGTGGAGATTTCCCACCTCAGAAGATTCTGGATAGGGTTCAGGATTCCACCTATGGTCTTATGCAATGCAGAGGCTCTGCAGGAAGCCTCCTTCACTGGGCACATTGTAGCCCCATTTTAGGTATTCCAATCGGTTATAGGCAAAAGATAGATTTAAAAGATTTCTATGCTGATATTTCCAGCTATTCCTTTCTCTCCCCCTCAAATTTCTATTTTACAATGGTATGCAAAGGGAAACCAAGATTCAAAAGACAGCCAAGCATCTTAACATTACTTCCCCCCTTTTACCCACTCAAATCATGCCTCAATCCTTGTATCCCAGAGCCCTGTTGTTCCAAGGTTGTACATACATCATAATTTACCTCTGTCCTACTTAGCCCATGCAAACCTGCCTAACTGTTCTCCCATCTGCCTTATTCTTCCATTTCCCTCCCCCTTCTTGTGTATTGCCCCCCTCCCCAGCACCCAAACTATCCTGTGTCTATTCCCATCCCTGTGCTCCACCTTCCCCTAACCCCACTCCCCACATCCCGGTAACCAGCAACAAATTTCACCCCCTTTTAGTATGGGTTCTTTCTCTTACACTTTTATAATAGTCCTATGCAGTATTTCTCCTTTAGTGACTAATTTCACTCAACATAATGTTCTCAAGGTTCATCCATGTGTGTGGTGGCTTATAGCTTCCTTGTTGTTCTTCAAGGTAGCATAGTATTCCATTGTGCATATATACCTACCACAGTTTGTTTATCCATTCTTCAACTGATGGGCATTTAGGCTTTCTCCATCTTTTTGCTATTGTAAACAGTGCTGCTCTTGACATTGGTGTGCATGTATCTACTAGTGTTATGGCTCGTATTTCTTGTGGGTAAATACCAAATAGAGGAATTTCTGAATGGTGGTTACAAATTGGGCTGCTAACCTCAGGGTCAGAAGTTCAAAACTACCAGCTGTTCCGTGGGAGAAAGATGAGGCTTTCTGCTTCTGTAAAGATTTACAGCCT